TGACGCTAAATAGAGATATGACCGCTGCATTATAGATTTATGCGGCTGAAGAACTAGTGTGCCACGAATTCTGTACCTTGTGTAATGATTACGTTTAATTTTTTGGTCAGTGTTTGAATACATTGTACATTGTACATGTAAAGTCTTTGGTTTACGAAACTCCAGTAGAAACAGAGCAAGACTTAATTGGACGAATTACAGCAGCATTTGAAAGCATTCAAAACGAGTATCAAATTTTTAGTCAAGTCCACCGAAATCATGTGTGACGTTTAAATCGGTATATTCAGGTTGGAGGGAGACATTTTGAACAATTGTTGTGATCATGTACAAAAGGCAAAAATTAAATGCATTAAATCCTATTTAGGCAATTCATCGTTTTTCTAAATTTTAACGCGTCTTAGAGCCGTAGTGACGTAGTGACAGTTTTCCGGATATGGGTCCCTATCTCAAATGTTTTCTACTGTTGCAATGAATAACCCCTAGAAGTTTGATCCCTTAGTTCTGAAACACCCTGTATTTTTCTCTTAGTATACTCGCAAGGTATTTAATTTTGTAGGTTGCGAATCTGACTTTCTTTAAAATATAATTGACATAGATGTCGCAACGTTAGTGAGGATCCAAGAACACTCCAAGGTATTTTATGTTTGTCACTCTATTAATTTGCATTTTTTGATCTTTAATGTTGAAGGAGAAATTTGTGAAATTTGGCAGATGTCTAGCATAAGATCCAAATGGTAAAAAATGTGTTTGAGCATAGTTGCTGCTTAATTTTCTACTATTAAACCACCGAATAATTTTGACCAAATTATTATCAATTACATTTTTTAGACCAGACTAGTCAGTTCCTTCATATAATATTGCAGTATCATCTGCAGAACTGGTTAATTATGCCAACATAATTAATTTGTAAAATATAATATAAATATACATTGAATAACAGTGGACCAATGTTCCTTGTGGGACACCAAACTCAATAGACATTTATTTCCTTGCTAAACGATCTTGATATCTAGACAGATGAGGACGATTTGATAGATAATTTTCGATCAGTGAGTACGCGTTTCCTCTGAAACAAATTCTCTCCAATGCTTCTAATAATAACTTGTCATTAACCTCGTCGAAATCTTTTTTTAAGTCAACAAATATGCATATTGAAGGGATTTTGTTATCAATATTTTGATGTATTTGATTTACAATTTTAACTATTGCGTCCGATGTAGCCTTCCCTTCTGTAAATCGATATTGTTTTTCAATTAAAACTTTAAATTTTGTGCGGTATTAAATCATTCTAGTAGATAAAACTTTTTTAAAAACTTTTGCTACACTGGATATTATTGATATTGGTTTATAATTATTAACATCTGTGTATTTTCCTGGTTTATGTATCGGAAGATATTACCTTCTTTTAAGCTTAAGGAATATATGCCAGGTTCAAAGCATTTGTTGATTAGGTAACTGATTGGTTTTGTTATGTCGTCGGCTATAATTTTCAAATGCGAACGCAAGATTTTTCGATTTTTTAAGGACATAACGGTGGTGTATACTTCACATTGCTCGACTTTATCCAAAATAAGTTTGTTGAAAGATCTTTTTGCAAGCTGAGTATTGGGCACATTTTCTTGTATATACTTGCTAAGTAAATATACAAATTCATAGCATATTTGTTGAATATTTTTGATAGACCAATGGAATTGTTTTCAGAGCTTAACTTCCCTAAAGGAAATACGCGCAAGCCTATCAGCAACACATCTGCTACGCGGTCTTGTACACACACATGAGTTGGGTGATAGAGGAAACGTTCTTTTCATTCAATTTCTGAAAATGCCTCTGAATACAGACATTGTAATAGTATCTTCAGAGATATATCACCCGCCCATGACAAGCAAGTTGTCATACTGACAGTGATAGACTTAAATCTAGAAGACCCATACGTTGACGAAAAAACTTTGGGTTCACACAAACGTCTGCAAATAGAGGTCGATTGGTTATGTATAGTATGTATGAGGGAGATGGATGTATGAAAATAATTCCTGTAGTTTTACTGTGACCCACTGGAAACCTTAAAAATTCCTATAAAAACTTGTAAAGCAAGATCAGGTTATTATTTTGAGCGAGTGTTTTTAACATTACCCGAGCCTCCGATCGCCTGTGTGATATGTAGCACAATGTTTGTCCTACAATAATTTGTAGGACAAAAATAACAAATTTAGTTAGTTGTTACTACAAAGAGCTCTTTTATCTAAAGGTAATCAATTTGGAAGATTCAAAAATCCCCTCTTTTGGAAAATTACTAGCTACGCCAGTGCTGCAGTAACGTGTAACGTGAACAGATGATCCATATTCTCACACGTCAATACTGTGCTGTGAAATATGCAAGTATTATTGCACCTTCAGTCGTGCAAAGTTATACAGGGGATCCTGAATAAACGGAGGAATATATACTAAGTGACATATAAATCCGAACACCCAGTTTAATTGGTTTTATTTTAATAAAAGTTGGTGAATGTATTTATCTTACTGTAAATAACAAGTGAACAAATTTTCAGCCTTATCAGTTGGACATTCCGGTTTTTATACTGCTTTTTTAATTCACTAACGCTCTAAAAATGAATATTTCAGCCGCAGTAAAGAATCAACGTTGGCGGATTTTGGTTCTTGACATCCTTTACGATCGGTTACGATGCCTAGAGTACGGAGACCTGTACGATTTCGTCAAATTAGTGAGTTTGATAGGGGCCGTATAGTGGGACTTCGGGAAGCTGGAATTTCTTTTCGGGCAATTGCAGTTAGAGTGCAAAGAAGTGTAGACACTGTGGTTAGGTGTTGTCAGGCATGGCTTCGAGAAGGCCGTACGCAAAGAGCAAGGCGCACTGGACGCCGCCGTAGAACAACAGACCGTGAAGATCGCCGCCTAAGATTATTGGCCTTAAGGGTCCGTTTCTCCACTACCAGGTCCATTGCAAATGAATGGTTTGCAGAACACGGAAGACCTATTGGCATGCGAAGTGTTTACCGACGAATGAGAAGTGTTGGCTTGTTTTCATACCGGCCACACTGGGTCCTCCCTTTAACTCGAGAACACCGACGTAATCGCCTTGAGTGGTGCAAACAACGGTCACTCTGGGATCAGGAATGGTACAGCATTGTCTTTAGTGACGAGTCTCGATTTTGTTTAGGCATGCACGATGGTCGTGCCAGGGTTAGAAGGCGACGTGGTGAAAGGAGGAATCCACAGTTTTTTGTTGAAAGACATGTTCATCACACTGTTTGAGTTATGGTTTGGCGTGCTATAGCTTATGGTTCCAGGTCACCTTTAATCTTCATCAGAGGTAACATGCACGCGCAGCGTTATATCCACGAAGTTCTAGAACCCCATCTTTTACCCTATCTTGACACCCTGGCAGATCCAACTTTCCAACAAGATAATGCCCGACCACATGTTGTAAGAGTCACAATAGACTTCTTTCAACATAATGATGTCACATTGTTACCATGGCCAGCAAGATCTCTCGACTTATCCCCAATTGAGCACGTGTGGGATATGATGGGTAGGAGATTGCTCAATTTGCAACGTCTTCCACAGACTCTAGAAGCACTTCGAGAGGAGTTGGTGGTTGCCTGGAATGAGATACCACAGGAGGACATTGATCACCTGATCAGAAGCATGCTTAGGGGCGTTGGAGAATGCGTAGCACATCAGGGTGCATCCACACATTATCAAAGGTCAAAGGGCTTTAAAGCAGTGCAATCATTTTGAAATTTTTATCATTTACTCATTATGCTTCATTAAGTACTTATACAAAATTTTATTAAAATAAAACCATTTAAACTGGGTGTTCGGATTTATATGTCAGTATATTTCATGTATCAATGTAATCTAGAGTCGAATCTATGTCATTATGCTGTTCTATTTGTTTTTTTTTAATTGGGAGTTGCAATCAATGTAAGCAGGCTAACTGAACAGTTATGTTTTACCAAAATGCAGCGCGTTTTATAAAACGTTATCAAGTTGCTATGTAAAAATGTATTCAATTTAAAATTAATGCCCCTTCACTGAAACTCTTTGAAGGACATTAAAAATTTACTGAACATAACTTTCGTCTTACTTTGCGCAGTTCTAAGTTTATCTCAAGAATCAATAAAATGTGGATGGAAAGGATGAACACTTCATGTCGTATTAGTGAACCAGAGGTTTGATGCTAAGTGCGTTTAGATCACTGAAATAGTTTTGTCACCTCGCCGTTATACATTTATACAACCTTTTAACCAAAAACCACTTCACGCCCTTTCACCCTCTGCCTCCCAGGGGCATCCTCTTAAAACTTTCGAATGACAAAGGGTATCGAGTAATAGCTTGTTTGAAGTTCTTTGTTTTGACGTTTGAAAATTAAAATTAATTTGTTAAGATAGAAAACAAGAACACACAAAAATTTCACTTTTTAATTGAATAAGCGATCAAAATGTTGCTCGTTATTGGCCAAACAATGATATAGGCGAAGTTGTTATTTAAAATTTTTAAGGGAATAACTCTGGATAGCAGAGGGTGAAAGGGGTGAAGTAGTTTTTGGTTTAAAAGTTGTCTTTCTTGACAAATGTTTTGACGTGTCTCGGCGTTTTTTCTTTTAATAAGTGGTTTGCGCTAAATCCCTGTTAGGAAGTTTTCAAATGAACACGCTTGGAATCATCATGGCAGTATCTAAATTATCATAGTAGAGCATAACTGTATTGGCAAGGTGACATCCAAATAGATGTCAAGTTTCAGAATCCATATAGGCCCAAAAGCTTCACTATAATCTAGAGTCTCACTGATTTGTAAAACAAGAATGTTTTTATTTATTACGGTCGATCGATGGATCTGTCGGTCTGTCCGCTAATCTTCAACGGCTCTGTAACCCCTAAATTTTTGAAAAGAGGTAACTCTACCAAAACTGCAAATCAATCAAGTGGCAACGCAGCCACTAACAAAAAAAAACAATAAAATACTTATACTTTGTTTTTAGAACACCTTTTGAGTGGTTGAAATTTATGGGTTGGGGCTGTATGAAGTACGGGTTGTAAACGTTGCATCCTTGAAATTATAGAGGAATTTGTGACACCTTGCTACTTACTGCTTTTCAGCAGATGAATCGCATACCTATCGGTCGCAGTTGCCGTGCTCCACGGAGTTGTAAATAGTACATCTTTGATACTGGACCCAAGAGAATTCTGAAAGCAGACGTCACATTGACGCGATATGAACTTACGAGGCTGGAGCGATATTACCTATATACGGGGTGATTCAAATTCGTTGTGCATACATTCATTATATATTTCTATTTCCTCACAATGTTCATCCCAAATTAAAAATTATGTCACTGACTTTAAGACCGACAAATCCATTTAAATGTGCAAAATTTCAATACCATATGAAAAAAAAACTGGTAATGGAAGTCGAAAGATGAAACCTCTAATGGGAAATTTGACTACGCCATCTTTTAGATGAGAAAATATGGCAATAACAACATGTTATTTAGATTGAAATCCCATCTCAATGAAATCAGGAAAAATTAAAAATGACTGCGATAAATCTGACAACTGACTATCTGATAATTTTAAGGCCTACAACCAATTCTTTTTTTTAAGATAACTAATGTTTGGCAATGTCAATGACTTATATTATACATTTTTGACATCCGAATTGAAACCTCTATTCACCTGAGCAAAATTCCAATATGGAGTCCTTAACCCTTAATTACGTGCGTGGGTGAATTTCTAATAAGTGGTCGCATGGTGTATTCTATACACCACTAAGAAAATCAGTCTTTTTATGGTATTTTTGTAATAATATGTAGGCATAATAATAGGATGTTTCAAATAAATACTAAATATACGTTTATTAAGAACATTTTACGTTATGTTAACATAAACTAAATAATATAAAAACGAAAAATAAAATTCGAAAAAATATCAAACAATTATTTGCTATTTGAAAAAAAATATTCTTTGGCATTTATAAGCTAGAAACTAAACAAACGAAAAACTCATCTGCAAGCATTACATTGCAACAAGTAACACATTTTATATATTTTTTGCTGTGTTCTTTACAAACAAAATTATTACAAGAATCACACTTCATTGTTGTTACTCTATTCTTGGCTCGTCCACACAAAAGGCATCTTGCTCTTATTTTTTGAGGAGGTTCTTCAGAGTTGTCAGCCTCGGGTTGATTTTGAACTTCTTCGACTAATTTCTTTAGCAGGATTTTTATGTCCACAGGTAACTGTGAAATTAACAAACGATCTGGAAAGTGAGATCTCATCAGCATATAGGAAAGATTTTTTAGGTATGACCTTCTTTTTTCTCGTTTGTTTTTTAATCCTTGAAACAACAATTGGCTGTTGGTTCCTGTTGGATTTTTTTTTGGGGTATAGGAAGTTAGCATTATATCTTTTTGAAATCCAAAAACTGAAGTACTCGCATTTCGTTTTTTGTTTACAAGAAACTCGTTGGGTACTTCTGTTTTATTTTTTCGTAATGTCCCTAGAAATGTAATTTTATCTTTTAGTAGAGACAGTGCCAACGTGTAACTGGAATACCAATTATCACATGTGAGGTTTCTGTTTTTTCCTTTTACATGACTAGTGAGTCTGCGGACAATATCGAACGGTGTATTACTTTGAAAGAAGGGACCGTTGGGTTGTTTTCCACAGTATATTTCTAGGTTTCCTGTATACAATGTACGAGAATCACATAGCGCAAAAACTTTTATTCCATATTTGGCAGGTTTATTTGGTATATATTGAATAGACCCACAACGCCCTCTAAATGAAATCAGCATTTCATCAATTGTTAGAAATTCTCCTAGATTGTACAACGATTTGCATTGCTCTACGAATTTGTCAAAAATAAATCTTATAGGAACTAATTTATCTACTTCCTTCTTTGAAGCCTAGTGTGGATGTTGTCAAATCTTATGACGCGAAGTATAAACAAAACTCGTTTGTAACTCATACATGCTCTAAATATTTCTATCCCAGAACCATCTGTTACCTATAGTTCTAAAAATGTGGTGTGGTTGGCTTTTTTTATTCCTGATAAAATCAATAACCCGATGAAAGCCAAAAGTTCATTTTTTGAAATATGCTTCACGTCCCTGTTTCGCGTAAAATTTTCTCCTATACTGTCAATGTACACACTTGTATATACAAGTTACAATTTCATCGATTATATCGTTGGAAAAAAATTTCATGAATGCATCGACTTCAGTTTCAATATCTAAAAAAGGGCAAGTTCCTCATCAGTCAACCTATTGGGGTCTCTCACACGTATTTTGTCCCTGAAACAATTTATTATATTTATTACCCTATTACATCAAATTCAAAATTATTTACATAATTTTATATAGTCGATTCAAAAAGCAAAAAACAGGCGAAAACTTCGTCTTATAATACTTACATGTTAATTGGTCGCGTGGTGTATTTCAAGCACCGCTCACAAAATGTTAATCAATTCAAGTACGGCGTTCAACTAAAACCGGCGAAACGGCATTGCAGCGAGTCAAGGACATCTGTCTGCTAAGATACGTGTAGTGGTGGTGGCAAAAAAGCGTTTTTTAAATAAATGGTGCCTTCTATTTTAAAAATGGTGTGCAAAATACACCGGCGCGACGGTTAAGAGAAAATAGAGTCAACAGGAGACGAAACGTCATATTGAAATTCTAATTATACTATCTTATAGAGGAAAAAAGTGGCAATGCTAATGTAATTTTAAAATCCAACCAAAGATAAAGTCATAAAAAATTGGAAACGCTGTTGAGGATTTTTTTTTCACGAAAAGCACAAATAGTGCACTAATGGTTCTGACAAAATCGACGATTTTTGGCGCCATCGCGCTACTAGCTGCTTCGAAAGCATGGGAATTGTAGAGTCAATCTACTTGATTTCCCAAACTAACAATACTTTTTTACTGATGTTCATTCTACTCTACGCACCTTATGTTGGGGTACAAGGGTGTGACGCATACTCAAAGTACAGTTGTCTAGATCTGGGTGGCAAGTACCGAATCAACCTACTTGACGCCTTTTTTTTTCTTCCTCCCGTTCGAATTCAATCTTACTTTGTTTTATATTCCAGAGCCGCTTTCCAGTGCTTTCGGATTGAGAGCTGTATGCACCCGCAGTGGGGATGTTCCAAAACTTTTTATAAATATCGATATATCGATATCGATATATATCGAATTAAGTCGACCGATGTCTATTAAGCCGATATATCGATATTTCATATTTTTTTGGAAGCTTTCAGAAATTAGAAATCCAATGTTGTTTCAGTTATATCAAACAGTTATCGATGATGTATGCATATAAATTTTTATACTTATGTATGTGAAGTGAAACAAAATTCGGATAGGTATATAAAATGTATTTTTCTTTCCATACATTTATTTGGGAAAATTAATTCCAGTATTTTGTACTAGCTATTGAACTTAAAAATAGCAACTTTGAGAGTCTGCTTTCTTGTACCCGGTTTCTGCTCTGAGTTATAGTGGCTCCTGCTTTTGAAAAAATATATTCGGAAGAAACGCTTGTTGCCACAATTGGTTTCATATTCAACGTCACATTCTTCTTGATGTTTTGTGTTTAATATGTGATGCTAGATTGCTTAATTTCCAGACGTTTTAACTCGTTTGTTACAAATAGTGAAAACGGCTTTTTTTAAATATGACCATAGTCTACTTCTCCTCATATTTTGAAATTAAAATTGAGTATTAATTTATTAGCAACCACCAGGTGCAACACGTGTACATGTCACATGTCATATCACAAAGCACATATACTTGTCACTTGTCATATCGTCATACCTCATTTTCTAGAGAGTCAGTGGTGTCACGTTGCCAGTCAAGCGTTTTACCCGCTTTTGTGGGTATTTTAATTTGGGTGGGTTTTTCGATATTTTGATACGATATATTGAATTTTTCGATTTTGCTTTGACGTCGCCAGTTTGTGATCACACTGCCAGACTAACAATGAAAATGTGAATCACACTTTGCATTTATTCTCAGAACATTGTCAGACTATTCATTTGAGGCCTGGGTGAATGTGTAGAATTCATATTTTAGTGTAGACATTACATACGAAATTATTTTCAAAGTGTCTAGCTATAGATGAACCAAACTACAAGCCGCTTCTTGCGCTCTCTTGTGATCTTCATCATTCAGAAACATCTCAAATGTATACTAAGAGACATATAAATCCGAACACCCAGTTTAAATGGTTTTATTTTAATAAAATTTTGTATAAGTACTTAATGAAGCATAATAAGTAAATGATAAAAATTTCAAAATGATTGCACTGCTTTAAAGCCCTTTGACCTCTAATAATGTGTGGAAGTGCTTCTAGAGTCTGAGGAGGACGTTGCAAATTGAGCAATCTCCTACCCATCATATCCCACACGTGCTCAATTGGGGATAAGTCGGGAGATCTTGGTGGCCATGGTGACAATGTGACATCATTATGTTGAAAGAAGTCTATTGTGACTCTTGCAACATGTGGTCGGGTATTATCTTGTTGGAAAGTTGAATCTGCCAGGGTTTCAAGATAGGGTAAAAGATGGGGTTCTAGAACTTCGTGGATATAACGCTGCGCGTTCATATTACCTCTGATGAAGATTAAAGGTGACCTGGAACCATAAGCTATAGCACCCCAAACCATAACTCCAACAGTGTGATGAACATGTCTTTCAACAAAAAACTGTGGATTCCTCCTTTCACCACGTCGCATTCTAACCCTGGCACGACCATCGTGCTTGCCTAAACAAAATCGAGACTCGTCACTGAAGACAATACTGTTCCATTCCTGATCCCAGAGTGACCGTTGTCTGCACCACTCAAGGCGATTACGTCGGTGTTCTCGAGTTAAAGGGAGTACCCAGTGTGGTCGGTATGTAAACAAGCCAAAACTTCTCATTCGTCGGTAAACACTTCGCCTGCCAATAGGTCTTCCGTGTTCTGCAAACCATTCATTTGCAATGGACCTGGTAGAGGAGAAACGGTCCCTTAAGGCCAATAATCTTAGGCGGCGATCTTCACGGTCTGTTGTTCTACGGCGGCGTCCAGTGCCCCTTGCTCTTTGCGTACGGCCTTCTCGAAGCCATGCCTGACAACACCTAACCACAGTGTCTACACTTCTTTGCACTCTAACTGCAATTGCCCGAAAACAAAGTCCAGCTTCCCGAAGTTCCACTATACGGCCCCTATCAAACTCACTAAGTTGACGAAATCGTACAGGTCTCCGTACTCTAGGCATCGTAACCGATCGTAAAGGATGTCAAGAACAAAAATCCGCCTGGGTTGATACTTTACTGCGGCTGAAATATTCATTTTTAGAGCGTTAGTGAATTAAAAAAAAGCAGTATAAAAACCGGAATGTCCAACTGATAATGCTGAACATTTTTTCACTTGTTATTTACAGTAAGATAAATACATTCACCAACTTTTATTAAAGTAAAACCATTTAAACTGGGTGTTCGGATTTATATGTCACTTAGTATATGTTGTGACTCTGGGTCATACATTATCAGTTAGAGTAGAGAGTATAACACCGAATAAAAAGCTAGTGCATGAGGAGCACGGGACTTCAAAACGGTATTGCCAGGCGTTGGTCACTCCGAATAACTGGAAAGCGGCTCTAACTGACATGTGTATAGTGATACAAAATGCGGTAGCTAATGAATCCGGCTAAACTACGATGTTCCTGCTCAAATACGGGTCCGTAAGAAAAGCTTTCCTACGAGTCAGTTTTGTAGGCAGTTACCGGTATCTAAAATGCATCAAGGTTCATAATATACGCTGAATGAACACATAACATCCCTTTTTGCCACTATTCGCTGCACGGCATCATAAAAAGAAAATTTTATAATCAGTCGATAACGTCGATAACATCGCGATGGCGTGCTGGGCAACGACGTTTGCTTAGAAGCAGCGGCAGCAGGAGAATTATTACGTTTTTCGATGCCGAAATAGAAGAAAGCAGTTAATTAGTGTCAAGGAGAAACGAACGTAAGCGAAAACATACTTTTTGTCTATATGGCATGATTTAAAATATAGTGACATACACAAAATATCACCACACGTAATGAATTTTTTACAACATTTTTGTTTACACGTCTCTTAGGCCCAAAATTGTTTTTGACCGGCGGGATTCAAAATTTGCCAAGTATTGGATCTAATGAATTTGGTCGATTTGTGCATGTTTTAGTTAAGAAAACCTATATTTCCATTTCTGTC